GGCTGAAAGCTGAAAGTTCTGGGCCGGATGAACTGGGCGAGGTCTGCGGATTAGGGGAGCACTGCACTTGACACGACCGCCTTGAGAAGGGTCGTTAAATACTTAACTATTGCGTCAGTCGTTTGGGGTTTTTGCCGCACAAAGCAGATTATTCCGGTAATGAGAATCTAGATAATGCACACCGAGAAAGCTCTGGGGTTCGGGGGCCCGGAATTAAGTTAGGTTTTGAGAGTCTCGGAGAAGCCGTAAAGTGAATTTGTGGCGTCTCTTCGGGGGTGAAGTGCGAGTGCGTAAGCGCATTCAATATTTCTTTGGCCGAGATTTTGCAATCTAAATAATTTGCCACAAGCAAACAAGCACTCCCCGCTCTTCTGCTACAAAATAAACACTCGGACTCGGTGCCCCTTTCCCCACATTTTCATCGAAAACACGAAAACTTTGCCAATATACTGACAGCAGTAGCAGTTCCAGTTGCCAGTTTGCAGTTAGCAGTTTGCAGTTCTCCGGCTCGCAAACTAATACCCTTTGACCCCGGAGCCCGGAGCCCGGGTCCCCGACCTGCTGACCGCACGCATGCTAAAAGTGTGGTTGCCCCACCCAGCAGGTGTGGGCTCGGTGGCGCTCCGGTGACTTTGTGGCCCCGCAAAAAGTTCCTGCCGTAGTTTGTTGTTCTTGGCCGTTGTTTTTGACAGAAAATTGCCAGGAAATGCGCTTCCAGTGCGCCAGTGTGCGTGTGTGTGTCTGGATGCGAAGAAGCCTCCTGCCGGGAGCCTGGAGATGCTGCAAGATGCCAAGATGCCAAGATGCCAGGTAACAATACCAATACCGACTGCACTTACCTCGGCCGCAACGCAACGCAGTTATGCAATCACAAAGTTGCCACCGCCACCACCGGCCATCGCCATCGTCATAGCCCCATCGTCTTTGCCACTGATTGAAATTCCTTGGCCGGCTTCTAATAATTTTCAGCATCATCCCGGCAACGGGATCACAACTTGGGCCCGGATAGTTTTCATCCGAGTTATTGTTATCACCATCAAAATCATGCTCCTTTGCTGGCATCATCATCACAGCTGGAAGTCAGTCATCTGCAAGTGAACCTAGTGCTTGTCTTAATACTCTATTTTGCTGTTTGATTTGTTAAAAAAATATATACATCTAAACCAAAGCTGTATACTTTAAAGAACAGAGACATTATTATGGTATTTAGGAGTATCTAAATATATTCTATATTAAATAAATAATATATATATTTCTTTATAATATTTCCCAAGTAATAAGAGTATCAGAAACCTCATCTTTTTGAAATTACCTTTTCAGCTTGTTCTAATTATTGTTGTTGCTGGCATTGTTGTGTATACAATAAAGTCTGTTGCTGAGCTTTCGCCCACAGACTTGCCAATATTTTCCTTCCGCATTTATTCAAGCATCGCAATTGAGGTTTTTGATTAGTTTTTACTCTCCCGTTGCAACTGGGGAGCCATTGATTGCGTATTCTTATTATTGCCGTGCTGAAAACCGAGTCCATCTGGATTTTTCCCCTTTTTTAATATCTCGAGAATGTGTTGGGAAAATGGCTGCAGAGGCCACTCCAACAATAGATTCTTAAGGGTGGAGAAAAAAAGGTAATGATAATAAACTAGGGCTTATAACGAGGATTAGAAATGCATTTACTTAAAAAGTTTATAAGCTTAAAAGCAACAAGAGAAGAAGGGAAATAATGTAGATTAATGAAATCAAATTTATATTTTTGACTGAAGATTTATAGTCATTATTAATACATGAATACGTAAGAGCTCGTTTTCCTACATGTTTTTTACAATAGTTTGTTTAAAAACTTAACTATTTTAATTGAATACTTTTGGGCTTTGACTAAAATATCATCATGGAAAGCTTTGCTTCATCTAACATTTACCAGCCTTAATGACTCTGTTAACAGACTGGTTTTCCGTTTGAAACCGACTCGATTTTGTTGATATTTCGATATATCCCCCGACTTTGAGTTCAATTCTTTGTCCAGAATATAGTTTCTGGCTCTTGGTTTTTCCAATGCGGCAAAGTTATGACTGTTTGCATTGTGAGTACGTGCAGACGACTTGGTTCCTTTGCTGATTGAATGGAATTTGTGCCGGCTTCCTGTTTGTTTGAGGTTGTCGCCTGGTAAGTGTTAGGAGTTTTTGTGAGCTGCCAATGGCAAGTTGAAATCCCAGTCTAGACGTCATCAAGGTGTGTGTGGCGCTCAAATATTTGCCAGTCTTTTAAACTCACCTTTAGCTATTTGGAGATCAATTTTCCAGCCGCAGGAAATTCCGCCCATTAGCGGGTTAAGCGATTCGGAACTAACACTTGTCAGGGGCAATGTCAATAAGGGTACCCTGGAGCTTAACCAGTAGATTGGTGGTGTAGTCTGTATTGCATTTTAGGGTCTTGGTTAACAAGGTATTCTCTTTTTTATAGCAAAGGAGGATACACTCTAAAGTAGCTAAAAATTAGTATGAAATTTATAACTGTAGTAATATATAATATATGTATACCAATTTCTTATGCTTACATTTAAGTACTTATTAGTTGGCCAAAATCGTAGACAATTTATATCAAATGTTTATTAAATATTTCTGAATTAAAGCCTTCCTTCTTGCTCAACCTTTTAATTTCTAAGTTGGAGTTAAAGATATTATTAAGTTTTTTACGAGTTTTCTGCATTTCCTCCCTCGATCTAGCCTTATCTTTGTGTGCTTTTGACATTTTTGCGTTTCATTTTTGTGTGACAAGTTTTCTGTGGTTCACTCGGGGCCACTTTACGGCATGTCAGCTTCATCTGCATAGCAGCCCCCATTTTTTGGGGGGTGTGGTACAAGGGGGTGGACCAAGGGTGACGGCCTATTTCACACTTTTATAGAACATTTTTGCCAATTGTCTGGCGACGTTCCGACGTACTCGTGGTTAGCCCGGTTCTTCTCTTCTTTTTTCCTGATTCATTCGCTTTCTTCGCTGCGGAAGTTTGCGCAATTTCCAAAGCGGAAATGCAATTTTCGGTTCAGCTGCATTTGTCTCGCAGTGCCACGCCCTCGCGCCCCCTTCGGCCGCGACTTGGGCGGCTTGCCAACACATCGTATATCAAATGCAGAGTTGGCAGCCCCTGACAATGACATGCAGCGAGCGTTCAGCCAAACCAGAAAAGGCCGACAGCTTTCCGGGCGGGTGCCGGTGGGTAGTAGTGCTGGAAAATCGGCGGAAAATGGGTGGCATAGGCGCTCGCATCGCTGTTCGAAAATAAAAAGGCCAGGTCCTGCAGCAGCAGCGTGTGTCACGCCTTTTGTGGCCAGATCGTAGAATTTATTCGCTCTCTCTCTGTTCTTTTGTGCCGAAAGTACTTTTATTTATTTGCATATAAATTATTCAATTGTTCCCTGGCTTATCTTTCTTGCTGGCTGGCTCCGCCCTCCGTTGCCCGCCGCTGACCCCCCGGCGGGGAGTCTATCAAAATTCTGAATGCATTTGCAATTGCAATCGCAATTGATTTTTGATATCTCTGTGGGCGTGGCACTGAACAATTTTTGATTTACGATACTGCACTTGGCAAAAGTCGGGCTAAATTGTACACTGGCCAGTGTGAAAAGGGGCGCGGCTTAAAGAGAGAGTTCGATTTGCTGTTATTTAACACGCATTAAGAAATTCTGCTGAGCTCACGTACTGCTCCTGAGATTTATGGGAAAAAGTGCTTCACGAAATGCATAAATAATGTTGAACTGAACTGGAGAATTATTTCCACAAATAATTATGAATAAAAATGGTTATATTGAATAAGATTTCAATTTAATCTGCATTTGATTGTGTTGTCATAATATTCATTATCAGGTTGCAAGAATCTACTTTGTTGCATATATATAGTAACTTTTCTACGGCCATGATCTGCATATGTTTTTGTTATTCTTGAATTTCAGCCGAGTTTTCGCCGTTTCCGTTTCCGTTCGACACGTGCGCTAAACGGTTTGTCTGTACTCGTCCTCGTCCTGCCACGCCTCGCGCAGCCCGTCGCATCCTTCCAGATGTCAAATGTCAACTGCAGCATCGCAGCATCGGCCTGCGAGACGTGCTCTTCTTGTTGGCTGCGCAAACATTGGCAAGGCTCTTATTTTTCTCCGGCGAAAACACGCCTCAATAACATTCAAAACTCGAGACGTGCAAGGCCTTGGCTTGTCACCGGGAAATACTTGTATCTCCTAATATCTGCTAGGCGCTACATGTGTTGTAAATTTATTAGCTGTCATATAAATCTTTGCGCTCGGCCACCCTTCTGCGAAACGTGTGTGCCCTGGGTCCGGGAGGGGGCCGTGCCTGTTTACGGCCAGATAAGGCATTCGGAACGAACCCTTCTTCGGTTCCTTATTTTCATTTTTCATTTGCATAAATACGGCTCATACTTAAGGAGATTCATAATATTTTTTGCCCCGCCCCGCGCCCCTAATTGGGTACAGTCCCCTCGTCCACGGTCGACTGCCGACAGGGTTGTCACTGTCATTTGCTTAATTAATATTGCACCTAAGCGCAGGCCATATACCATATATCTTTGAGTTGAGTTAAGCATCTATGTGCAGACAGACACATGTGTGTTTTTCTGGAAGCCGAGCCTCGTCGGCAATTTTCTAAGTGCCTGCGTAGGTATTGTCTTGGCAAGGACTTTTTCAAGGACTGTTTACACAGCAAATCAGAGTGCTTTGAAAATAGAGCAGAAAAGGTAGCTGCTGCGAAGGTTCTTTGCTTTTCATTGATTTTTACCACCAAACAATATAGCAAAATTAATTTAAGCTGTAGGTAAGTGTATAGTAAGATAAGTCTTTCTGATAGCAGCAAAGTCCGTAGTCTCGTTAGCTTCTTAAAACAGAACAAATATAAAATAAAGTTAAAATATTTATTATAATTTTATTAAATGCATTGCTTTAAATATGTTACATAAATAGACAATAACTACTATAGCTGTATATTTTGGCACGCTTTTTCCTCCGATCTCCCCTTGGCCGGGAGCTCACTGCGACTCCGATGGCTCTGCCTGCTTGAGGGGATTACCCTTGTCGTCGATTTCCATGGAGGGCACCAAGGGGGGCTTGAACCCATACTCCAGCTGAAGATTGCGCCCAAAGTCGGGACTGCGTTTCAGAGAGTGCCCGTTGCGCCAGCGCTGGAACTCATCGAACTCGTTCGAGAGCGCGGAGTCGCTGCCTCCGCTGGAGGTGGTGGCCGGAACGGGGCCGATGTACGACTTGACCATCTGGGTGGGAGCCGAGGCGGCGGCAGTAGCGAGATCGGCGGGCAGGGTGTTGTATATGTAGCGGGCGCCCTGAAGCCAAGGCGAGCCCAGAGGCGGTGGGGGTGGGCGAAGGTCGAATCGCATGTCCGCCAGACTGAAGGTGGCCACCTTGGGCGCCTCTCCTCTCACCGGTTTCACCGGCTGCTTGGCAGTGGCCACGACTGGCTTGCTCAGCTTTAGGGCCTTGGTCGCAGACTGGGAGGCAGGAGCTGGGGGAACCTTGGCCGTCAGCTGTGGGAGCAACTTCTTCAGCATCCGGGTGTAGTAGTTCTGCAGCACCTTCGGCGGAATGTGGGCCACGGAGTGGGACCAGGGAGTCAAGGCATTGGGATGGCCATGATGGCCAAATGGCAGGGAGGAGTGACCCGGCGGCATGGGCATGTGAATGGCCACGGGTACGTGAATTGGGATGGCCATTGGACGGTCCACGAACTTCTCCACGATCTTCTCCACATGTACTGGTTTCTCCACAATGCGTTCCACCTCCACGGGCACGTGCTTCTCTACGATCTTCTCCACCACGGTTGGCACGGGATAAGGTACCGCATGCTCAACAATGGTCTCTACAGAATAGGGCCGGTCCACGAAGTGCTCCACGTGAACGGGTACGGGCACGGGCTGGGGCACGGCATAGGGTATGGGAATGTGCTTCTCCACCACTTGTTTCAGCTTTTCCTCGGGATAATGAGGCTCATGATGCTCCAAATAATGTTGATGCTCGTGATGGGGATCCTGAATTACTGGATGCTGCTCCTGGTGAATTACTGGATGATCCTGGTGGATTTGGTGTTCCTGATGAACATGATGATCATGTTGAATCTGGTGTTCCTGATGAGCCACTGGATGATGATCGTGATGAACTTGATGTTCCTGGTGAATGACCTGATTCTCCTGGACATGTTCCTGATGAGCAGGAGCGTAAACGGGTCCCGGATGAACGGTTTGCTGAGCAGAGTGACCCGTATCCAAGTTCACAGCGGAGTGATCTCCCACCTCCTGGGGAGAACTATCGTATTCCACGTGGATGGGATTCTTGGCCAGAGAGGCGTAGCTCTTTGCCGGAGCAGGTGCAGCCGCTATTGCTGGTGGGGCAGGCGAATGCAGATAGGGCTGATGGTAGATGGTTTCGTGCTGTTCCACCAAGCGCCCATCCTTCTCCGTGATCAGTTTGTTGTGGATGTTCACCGACTTCTGCACTTCCACGAAGGTATAGCCATTCGGCTGGGACGAGTGAGACTTCGCCGGGGCCGGAGCATGTTGGACGTGCTGCTGGGAGGGCTCAGCCGCTGCCTCCGATACGTAATCGTGCGGAGCTGGATGATTCACAGTGATGTCAACTCCCGGCTCGTGTGGCGCATGAGCGTGGGCTGGTGCGGGCGAGGAATGCGGGGGAGTGGGAGTGTTCAGGGTGACAAAAACCAGGCTGTTGGGAGTGGCGGAGACTGGCGTGGGACCCGCATATCCAGAGTAGTGATGCACCTCTGGGGAGGGGGAGGAAATGGCCTTGGTGTGCAGGGTCTCCAGCGGCTGATGTGACTGTTGTTGTGACTGCTGGTGCACCTGGCTGAGTTCCTGTTGGTATTCCAACTGGGCAGCAGGTCTAGCAAAGTGTCCGGCGTAATCTCCTTCATTCGACGGCCGTGGACTCGGTAGCTGGGGAGGATTTTGCACCTCGTAGTGGAAGCTGCCCTTCGGCAGCGGTCCTTCCCCGCTGCCCGAGACAATGGGCTTGAAGGATTTCAGGAACTGCCTCGAGGGCGCCTCGTGGCCCTGATGACGCTGCTGGAACCGCTGCTCGCTGTGCGCCTGGTAGTGATCCAAGGCGATCTGTGGCTGTATCTGTGGCTGGGACTTCTCCGAGGTTGCCTTTTTGAAGAGATAAGTATATTATTTAACCACAGTTTCTCTTAGGAGCTACCTACCTTTCCCTCTCCCTCCTGGGATTTACCCAATGTGGCGTCATGAACGATGTGCACATTGATCTCCTGGTCCTGGCCAGGACCCTTCTGGTTCGCATAGCTCTCAATGCCGTTGTGACTCGGAGCTGGCAATCTCTGCTGGTAAGCCTCACGGCCCACATGGCGTGTCTCCGCTATCTGGTTGTCTTCGATTTCGGCGTTCTCCTCCACCTCTGCTTCGTGTTCTCCCAGAATCACGATCGGAGCACTCTCGGCTGCCACTAGGGTCTCGTTGTCATCTCCCTCGGGTCGGAGGAGCACACTGGGCAGCACGGGAGCAGCCACTGCCGCCCGATTGATCCTTAGCAGCTCATCCCGAGAGATGTGGTTGCTGCCGTCGCGGAATCCCGGCTCCCGGATCTGCTCCACCACGATTTCGGTGTGTCCGGGCCTAAGCTCCCGACGGTACTCCTTTGTCACCGTGGTCTGGTAGCTGTAGTAGGTTTCATTCGGGGCCTTTGCCACAGTCGGAGTTTCCGTGGTGGCTGCTTCGGTGGTGGTGATGGCCTCCACTGTGGGTCGCACCACCGCCTTATTGGTGGTGGTGGCCGTAGTGGTAGCAGCCTCCGTGTTGGCGTCCTTTCCGCTGAAGCGGAATATGTCCGAGAATCCGTTGGGAAACAGATTGGACAGGACTTCATTCACGGTGTCTGTTCGGGAGCGAGTTATGGTCTGCTGAATGGGCTTTTGGCGACGCACCACCTCCACGGGCAGCTCCTCGTTGACCTCGAACTGGATGTAGCCATGGCCATTTGTGGGCGAATCTGCATCTCTGGGAGGCAGCACCGTGGGCAGGAAGCCAGGAACTCTGAGGCGAAGTAAGGGTGTTACAAGAGCAGGGTAACTTTAGGGTAAGCAAAAGGTGTCAAAGGTGTTAAAGAAAATTAATTTACTTAATAATTGGCCAAGAGAAAATTTCGTTTGACTTTCTTGAACACCTGAGGACACTCGAACTTGGCAAGTTTTTATTGTGATCTCTCTTACCCCACAAACTCCGCTACCCTTTCCGTAGTTAGCGTTTCAAAATCCGGCTCCTCGGGCACTTCAGTGCCCAGGCTGGGGAAGCCTTCGATGACCTCGCTGGCGACGGATGTCTGCTCCTCTTCTGGCTGCTTATTAAGCTGTCAAAAGCGACGCTCATTGCCTGTCAAAATCTTTCACTAAACTCGGACTCACCTCCTTGACGCTGCTGCTGTCACTCAGAAGAGGGCCTCGGGTCGCATTCTGGGAAGCGGGAGTGGGATCGGGATTGGCAGTGGATGCCGATGAGGGGGCCGGCTGGACGAGGATGATGGCCAGCAGACAGCCGAGCGTCGCCGCTGTCGCTAGCAGTGGTTGTTGGCGGTGGCGGGGCCACATGGAGCTGTTGCGGAAATGGCCAAAAGCAGTAAAGAGTTAGCGGAGGCTGGCAGAGAGGAGTGTGCTGTGTGTGCAGTGTGCTGTGGTGTGAATAACCCCGCAAAGCACGACAAATTCCAAGCGAAACATTCGGAGGAGCAGCAGCAGCGGCAGCGGCAGCAGTCAAGCCTGTTTTGGCCCACTCCAAAGGCAATCCTCCCGACTACTATGGCCACTCACTTGTCGGGCTGTTTGATTTCATCCGATACGATACGTCGCTGGATGATGATTTTTCCTAAGTGGCTGCCTTGGCACTTTGGCGCTTTTCTTTCTCTTTCGCGGCGACCGAGAGATTTTCCCTAGAAAAGTTGTTGAACTTGACGCAGCGCTTGCGTTTGCGTTAGCGTTCGCTTTGGGCTTATGTCATTGCTACTGGCAACGTAATGAATTATTAATTAGGCCCCCGGAGCAGCGCCTCTCCGCCTGCCATTTAATTTGGAAAATTGAAATTGATGGCATTTAAAATGGTTCGTACGGGTTTTCACATAGTTTGGCCGCCGCCGCCGCTGCCAGTATTTTGATGGGCATTAAATATGCATGCCAAAACATATTTCACCTGCAATATTCATCGTTAAGTGGCCTTGGGTGCTTTGAGCCGGTCCCGTTCGTGGCCGAGAGGATGCAAGAAAGTGGAGCTTTAGGTAGGCAAATTGTTGCATTAATTGGGTATGCAGATAACCATCTGAACGGGCGGCAATTAAATGCTGCACTCACACACACACCGAGCGAGGCCTAGGCAAATCCTTTTTGATTGGTGTTTTGAAGGAGCCGAGCTGCAGCTTGTAGTTGTCGAAAATAATGCCGTTTTCCTTTATTAGTTCTATCAGCTCTTCGTTCGGCAGCAAATCACATGCCAATTTCAGCCGCTCCTAACTCAATTTGCACATTTAAATGGAGCTTTTGCTCATTTCGCACAATTTCCACTGTTAAATGGGCTTTTAAACGGTTTCGCTGCCCGATTCGATTCAGTCATTCATTTACCTGCATCCATTAAGTATTCGCGCGACGGGGGTGGCCTTTATTTATGCCGACGGGATGATGCGAAAACACTCAATTATTTATATTGATTGCGCGTCCAATTAAAACGCACTTATAATCACTTTTCTATTCGATTAAAACAATTGCAATTCTCTGAGTATTCCGATGGCACAAAGGTTGTGGAATGAGTGTTCACTGAGTGGTTTTTCGGTGCGATGCCGCTGCTTTCTGCGACCCTGCCAGCTGCGCGTGCGCGTTGCGAATGAAAGTGAAACCGTCTTGCACTGAGCATTTCGTTTTCTTTTCGTCGTCGCCGTCGTCGTCGTCGTGGGTTGCAAGTTGCTGTCGTCGCCGATGTTGCTGCTGCAGCCTCCCCAGATGCTGCTGCCGATGTTGCTGCGATCCTTAAAGTGTAGCATAAAACTTGTCCAGCCGGCGATTGCGCAAGAGCCACCGCCGCCTGTCCGTCTCGCTCGCTCCTCCGAGGCAGTGACATTTTTGCTTATTTTTTTTATGGCTTTCTACGGCGGCAGCATTGACCCTGCCAAAAAATTGCAAAGACAGCCAGCGCGGGAAAACAGCCCAACTGGTTTTTCCTGCCAATGACAGGGGCAATATGGTCAAAGCCCCGCTGGGCCCCTCTGGGCCAAGAGAAAGCCCTTAAGGCCCTGACACAGATGCATCTCTCTGGCTTCTTGCTATTCCCTGCCTCATAACGCGCTCGGTGCAATTATCGCATTTACCCTGCACACCTGCCTGGTTCGATCACCTGCGAACGCATTGTTTCCCTGCGATTTCCGACGCTTCCCCTGCCATTTTCATTAATTTTTAATGAGGCGGTATTCGCTCCGGCATCCGAGGCTGTTGCTGTGGAGCGTTTGACGTTTCCAGCTGATTGATTAATGTGGATGCGGTTTTGCACTTGCTTTTTATTCCTGTCTGATTTATTAAAATGCGACTTTTTTATTTATGCTTTGGTAATTCAGTTTATTTATTGCATATTTAATGATATCGTTTTTCTCTTTGAAGATATATTTTTATGGCCAAATTATTTGAGTTGAGGAATTGAATGAATTTAAATGGAAATAAATTTAAACGGCTTGCCGATTGACCATTGGAATTTGGTTTGATTAAAATGCAAAAGAAATTCACCTGAAAGACATGGTTGTTTTAATTTAAAATGGACATCCAGAATTTATAATTTACTTAATATAAAACATTTCAATTCTTGAAGCAACAATATAAATTCAATATTCAATTCAATAAACCAATGGCAATCTTATAAATGAAGTCATCTATTGAATATAGAATCAACCTAATTAAGTGTAGAAAAGTAGGGACTTGTATATTTTATAGCCAACTAGTAGCTCCATGAGATAAGGAACATTACAGATATAGAATATGTTTTCCACATAAAATACTTATAAATGTAAAGTGAGCTCTTTATGATGCTATCATATGGTACGTCGCTCAAAAAATATCACCAAAATATCAGCGAAATGTGGGGAAAGCGGGCGTTCTATTAAGGCTAATGCCGCCATTACCTCGCAGATATAGATCCAACGATCATTCGGGTGTGATTTATGGCTTCCATAATCGGTTAGCTTCTTTATCTGTTTGCATCTCATTAAAGACATGTTGCATGCCTCATGCACACACATTTGGACTTTCACCAAATGCTGAGCAGCAATGGAAACTGAAACTGGAACTGGAGCCGAGATCACTGCTTTTCGGTTGGCATTTCCTCCGGCCTTTTCCGCCACCAGACTCGCACCAAAACTCGGAGACAATTATGATGAAAAGCGATTGCATAAGCGAGTGGCGGTGCAAATCCAGAAAATCCCAAGCCGAGAGCTGCGGGGAAATTGCCATGACCACCAGTTCGGACCACGTCGAGTCCCGCAAATTTTTACTTGGCTAATTTTCGCCGGATCAGCATTTGGGGAAAAGTGTAACAGAAGTCGCCGGTTGGTTTCCTTCCGCCTGGAAAATAAAGTCAACTTGTCGATGGGAAAAGTCCACGCCACTATTGCCGCATTTACAAAATGTTCGAAAAGTTGGCAAAGGAAATCTTTCAGATGCCTTGACCGCAGCTGAAATTGGACGATGAAAATGAAAAAAGAAATCGCAGAAATTGCGGAAAAATCTATTAAAAGCAATTCGCTTAATTTCATTTGGCGGCCCTGCTCATATTCAGCCATTGTGCTGCCCCGAAAGGCGCATTCGGGCGGAAAAGGCGGCTAATTAAGTGCGCAGGGCAAATGAAATATGAGTGAAAAAGGTAATTACAATCAATGGGTCCAATGGCGGCCTCGGTGGGGCCTCAGACCAAAAGCCAATTTCATGCAACAATCAATCAAAAACAATTTTTAATTTTGCGTTAACAATTTTCAGGCTGATCTGCTTTTTTCTTCGCGCATTCATTCATATTTTTTGCCACGCTTTTGGCTGGTTGGCTGGCTGGCTGGCTGGCTTTCCTTTCGTCCGTTTTAACTGTGTGAAGTAAATTGGAAAATAAAGTTAAAATTAAAATGCATTAATTGAACTGTGAAATTTCAGGCGAGCGTATTGGGGGTGGGAGTGGGAAATTATGGGCGCCCATCGATGTGCAATGAAAACGATTTTAATTGTCAGCGTTTTAAGCGCGCTTAAAGTCGCGACAACTTGACAGCAGGATGATAATATGACTTGCATTACCATATCCCTGTTTTCGTGACCATTTTTAAGCCCATTCGATGTCCAAAGATATGCCGGGGCAAGGCACTTCCCCTAATGCCCAATTAGGAGATTTCTCCAGCTGAGTTATCGCCTTTACGAGTGCAAAAATACATTCCCAGCTATATGCCACTTATCGGGCCATATCTACCAACATCTGTCCTGGTCCCACCCATTTTTCGACTGCCTCTGGCCATTGCTGCACTGCCACAGACTGGATCCCGCTCTGGATTTCGGTTCCTCAACGATGGCGCCTCTCATAAGCAAATTGAAACATGTCGATGTATCGCCGGGCGGTGGCTCCAATTGGCGGCTTTCGGAGCCGGTTCCAACTCGGTTCACACTCGTATTTGACTTTGGTCCGGCCAACAATTAAAACGAAATGCGCACAGTAATGCCAATTGGCGATTGCGGATATCTGCCGCAGTGCCAGTGCCCGGATGGCAGGGGCTCGGGGCTACGTAGAGGGGACACGATGCCCATTAGTTGGGGCACCTTTCGCTGTGGCGCGTGCGTCGACATTGGCCACCGCAGTCACCTCGCTGCTGGTCACTGTCATTACTGGCGAACATTACAAGTTTATTCCACTCGATCACTGCTCGGGAATTTTGATTGATAAATTACACTGCAAAAAGTATGGCAGGCGAACAAGCATTAAAACGCTTTAATCATTGGTTACGGAGAGGGAGGGAGAAGATGCGATCTGTTATATAAAGATGTATATTATTCAAAGTGTCCTTAAGATATAGTATTTGTTGATCCCATTGTGTAGGTTGTTTAAGCTTTTTATGGATAAATTGTACATTGAACATCCATTCTGTTTGATGTAAATCTTCACTATTTATTCATTTCTCCAGGCCCATACCCATTTCTCTCGGTGAACCCTTGTGTTAATGCAACCATTAGCCTCACTGTACCGTACGCCCCCGCTCGAATTCGTCGTAATCTCGCTGGCGCCTCGGCAATTCGAAGGCATTTCACTGTCATTAGCGCCCGAAACCGGCCAGGTTATCGATGGGGCTACCTGGCTGCGCTGAAGCGCTGGTGCTGTTCGCCAAACAGGTTGCCCGACGACTCTTTAGGCCAAAAAGTGTAGCAGCCAGGTCCACACACACAGAGTTTGGCCACAGCAATCCTGCGGTGTCGATGTACTTTTGATTTCCAACTAATAAACAAGAGCCGCTCGCTCCGTCCCCTGACTTTTCGGCGTTGACAACGCAACTCTGGTATTGGGCCAATGCACCAAGCCAACCAACCAGGCACCAACCCGAAAACCGGAATCTCCTTCACGCAAATCGAGCCGAGCCTGCGGTCACCCAAAAGCCGAAATCGCCGCAGTCCGGCCTTTCCCTTTCGTTGGCCTCTGATTGATATTTATGCAACTGCAACTGCAACTGAAATTGCAACTGCCACTGCCACTGCCACTGCCTCTGCAATCTGAGAGTGCAAAAGCGATGCTGGATGCCAGCCATAGCCAGCGTGCTTCATTGGCATTCCGTTCAGGTCGGGGTTCAGCTTGCCAATTGCTCGGCAAGCTCTCACAAAAGAAGCAAATGTTTGGTCGAAGTGCGCGGAATGGAAAGTGTTCTGGGGTTAAATTAAAAAAAAAAAACTTTAAAAAATATTTATGAAAATATATACTGCCCTACCCTTGGGTTAAGTATAGCAACCTAACGAACAAGTTAATCTAACTTATGAACTGCAACCCTAAGTACTTTTTTAAACCCACCGAGCAACGCTGGTATGCTATTAACTTTGTTGTTAACTGATGGTTTTGCTGGCTAATTTTTCCGGTTAATGCAAGGCTGCTTTTTTTCCCACCCATTAGCCACTTAAGAGTATCTGCTGGTTGTTTTTCCCCGGCGCTTTTTCCCCATTGCAGCTTAATGACGGGCGTTCCTGGCTGCTGATCGATTGTCAGTGTGTGCGGGCGCCGACTCTCTTGCCATACTTCCCCGCCCAGTCCTTGGACCACGTCCACCCGCCCAGTTAAAGAGATTTTCTTTTTGTTGCATTTCTCTGCTTTTAAATTTTATTTCATGTCCATTTTCATTTCTCTGTGTTGTGTGTGTGTGTGTTTTTGTTGGTGTTGTGTCTTTGTTGGCTGCTGTCCTCCGCTCCGCCTCCCTCGCCACTCATTTTTATCTGCACTTTTATTTGCATTCTCCTGGCTTTTGTCTTTACTTTATGCTAAATTGGCTATTTTGTTTTGTTGCTTTGTCACTTAAACTTGTAAATTTGCTCGACCTCGAGGCCCCCGCACCTGGCCACTGCCCACTGGCCACTGGCCACTACTGGCCACTTGGCTTGCTGGCTTAAATGTAACAGTTTGCTTGGCCGTGGTGGCCCGACCCTTGGCAGGGACTCGGAGTTATTGCTTTGCTGGGGCAGTGAACACGGGGTCGCTTAAGAGTTAGTTTTTGATTCTGTTCTCGGCTTCTCGGCGTCAGTGGCGCTCTCCTCGACTCCTCGACTCATCGGCTGAGGTTTTGGCCAGCTCCGAGGCCTCGTTTACGGCTAAAAGTGTTTCTTGTGGTTGTTGTTGGTGGTGGTTGCTTACATTTCTCTTGGGCCTATGACTTATATATGTAAACCGTTTCTGCTTATTGTAACACGTATTGTATTTGTATTTGTATTTGTTTTCGGTATTTGTATTCATTATCGTAATGGTAAGGGGTTATTAGTGAGTCCTTCGCCCAACACTATGCACTACAGATGAACACTGTCCCCCGTATCATAATTACTCATTGGCTTAAGATTAATTTGCCACATTTGGTTTGTGTTGCACTTAGGAGCTAATATTTTCTTTAGTAATATATGTGGTTTGTTGCTGGTTGGCTTCTCTTGTTATAAATAATATCCTGTAAATATTACCAACGCAATGCAATGAATCATAAATACAGTACGCACTTGACCATTCAATTGTCCAGTAATTATTTTGTTAGTTAACATGACGACGTGTTTGTTTGCTGGCTTTGTTCGCACAAATACTCGCAAACCTAAGCTGACGATAAACGCAAGGAGGAAATCACTAAACTCAACTATACAGGGGCCGCCCACACTCGGATATTCGTCGGGATTAATTAATCTCAATTTAAACTTATCATTTTACAATGCTCCGTGATCGCTTTGCCAGAATTCTTGGAACTCCGTAACGGTTTCTCGCTGTGTGGCTTAAATTGGCGTTAGGTTCTTCTAAGTATTCTTGTTTTTACACTGATCTCTTAGCCTACCGATATATATATATTTATACGTATTGCGCATAGGATATAGTGTAAGTGTAGCTTAGATCGACTATGAAATAAATTACAAAAGCGTGGGCTTTGTACAAAAAATCCTTTAGCATGCAAACACACATCTGCTGATCAATAACTGAAATATTTTACAATAGCTGTCAATCAAGTGTTTAAGTTTAAGTGCCCTGGACTGTTATATTACATTTATAATGGCTTCATTTTCTCTGGAACTGCTACTTACGACACTTGAGTGGCGTTTCCTATGTGGATTCAAACAACATTTAACACTTTTAATAGTATATATCGATCCTCTCTGGGTTGAGCAATTCGCTACTTGAACATTTATGTACAATTATCGCTTATGTGGAGGGTCTTCAATTGGTTTTTTGGGGCTGTATAATGATATTTATTCGTGTTACAAAAATATCCGTGTAGTAAGGTGAAACGATTTGCTTTTGGTCCGTTCAAACGATTGGAAAACCATAAGAAACTATAAGGTGCGGTTTAATCTGTATAATATAACGCAACTCGTTTATATTTAGACTCTTTTGATAATTTGCTTAATTTCATTTCCCAAAATATCTTACAGTTTATTTGCTCGGGGCAAACTTTCAAATGGAAGGAATTTGTTCGTGCCTGGTAAGTATTACTTCGTCTCTTCGCCTCCGTTTACATTTACAATTTTAAACTATAGGTTCTCCCTCTTCTCTCGTGCTTTTAGTTCTAAACATTTTCAAAATATTTAACAAAATCAGTCGCTTATCTCGATTTCGATCTCGATACCGATACCGATCCCGATCTCGATCTCTCTTCGCTATCGAAAAGGAACTTAAAGTACTCGTAATAATCAACTTTTAACAATGTATTTCCAAAAGAATTGTAAACCTTTCCTCATGATTTGGCATTTACGTTAAGCGCACACACATACACATTGACATACAGCGATAGGGTTACAGTTACACTTCCTACAGTTAATGTTCCTTTTACTGCAAGAGCAACAGTTAGAGTTACTGTTCCTGTTACTGTTAGAGTTACAATCACCGTTGCAGTACTTCCAGTAACAGTCACAGTTACCGGTAAAGTTACAGTTAAATCTAAGGGTTACAGTAAAAATATTGGAATAGCTTAGGGACAAAGAGTGGTTGTCTTTCCAAGAATCTGAAAGGTGTTTGAGAGTTCAGATCGTCCCCATCGGGGGTCTTAGCCTAGGGCAATTTTGATGCTTGGCTAAATCGGTTACAGATACACATACATATAGCTATATAGAGTAGTAGTTGTGTCGCATAGTCCACGCGGTAATGTCGAGTAATTGGGTAAGTCCATACATATGCTTAGCCAAAGGGGTTAGATTACATAGAACATGTGGTGTGATGTGGTTTGGTTTGCTTCGTAGTAGTAAACGCTCCAGGCAGGCACTCCCCAAGAAATCATTCACTCCGGCTTCCATTCACACTCAACTCTCAGTCACACAGATGTCCTAACTGACTTAAACCTAATGGCGGAAGCCGAAACTAAGGGCCAGGGCCACGATCACGGCCGGAACCAGAGGCCCACTGCCGGAGGTGCTGTTGAACACGGGAAAGTGTATCTGCTCCGGCCGGTTGAGCTCCTCCTCCTCGTCGTCGTCGATGGCATTGGACAGCTGTCGATGACGCTTCGTGAAGTTCACGTTAAACACGGCCTCGGCTACGCCGCCGGGGGACGAGACGATGAAGTAGAAGGTCCTCGGAACCCTCTCGTGCATGCTGACGTACGTGAGGCGCGCCTCCTTGCAGAAGGGCGTGGGCAGATCCTGCAAAGGGAGGAGAAGCGGTTATAACTCCAGGGCGTCAGGGCCACTCTATGGGATAACTCACCTTCACCGAGTAGGCCAGCACCGTGCTGCCGTACTGATTTCCGGGCGTGAAGACCCGATCGCCGTGCAGCCAGCGGGCGGCGTGAGCTGGAGGATTCGCACAGAACTCAACGTTCAGGTGTAGCGGCGAGCCCGGATAGGCAACGGGCGTGGCATTCAGGGCCATGGCTGTGGGAGCACCTGGAAATAAGTCAGGAATTTCGTATTAATATGATTCCTTTAAGTTAAAATACATTTAAATAGGAAATTTCGATTGGGTTAAGCTCCTATAAGTCATCTTGTAAGTACAACGAGAAATTTACACAATTTTGTGGTAGCTTTCTTCGACTGCAGCAATGAGAAACGAGAAGGATTAGTCCCGCAGAATTGCTATTGGAAACTTTTGCGAATCTGATTCCCAGTGGGCGATGGCATTGCCGCAGCCTTGGCTCGTTAGCCTGCTCCCTGGGAACTTTCTGCACCGAGATTCCCTAAGCAAACTTCTGGGTAAGCCGGGCTACGTCGCACTTCGCACATGCTAAGCCAATTCCGGCGCAACTGTACTCCGGCGCCAAGTTTGCCCCGCCTCGCAGCCTCGCATCAGCTGCAATTAAAGGCAGGGCGCAAAAGTTTAGTGCCGCCGTTACCGCTGCCATCAGCATTGCCATCGCCACTAATTAAAAGCGTATCACCCGACAAATGTGCCACTTACTGCCACAGCATCCACCATCACCAGCCGCCACCCGAGCGCCCTAAAAGCCCTCAAGGCCGATCTGCACCTCTGGCAAAGCTGGGAAAGCGGTGAGCGTGGTGTGGGAAAAATCAAAATAAATAGAGGACAACATGTCGAGGGGCCAAAGGAAAAGTTGGCCCAAGAACGCTGAAACTTCATTAAAAAGTTTGCGCCAAAGCGAATTTTGTGGAACTTATGTGGGCCCAATGCCGAGCCAGAGTAGGGGATTATCTCGGTGAGATGCTAAGGCCTGACGATGTTGGCCAACACTGCGACAATCCAATTAGACACATGTGCCAACCCTTTCTGCTCTTGATCTCGTTCTCAGCCTCAGCCTCAGCCCAACCCCCGGGGAGGGCGCCTCTGCTACTGTTGCAGAGCATATTTAATTATCGAGAGAGGCTCGAAATTTTGCAATTTTCCCCATCATTGGCCTGAGATAGTACAGACCGGCGTCGGCGTCAGGGGTGATGGCCAAATAAACTTGGGCCGCAATGGCGACCCTGGCAACCGAAATACAAAATGGTCGAAAGTGTTAAGTGCAAATGAGTGTTGCAAGGGGGCAGACACAAACAAAAACAAATCGAAGAACCACTCGTTCGACACTCGCAAATTTATAACCAGAAAACCCCTGGGACCTGGGCGACTAACTGTAAAATCAATTAAAGCAAGTGCGGCAGGGTTGCGACTCCTGCCAAATTATGCGTTCAACGCCATTTTGTCGAGCCCAGGACCCCGGCCTCTCTGCCCTTCCTTGCTTGGCAAAACCCGGGGAAAAAGTGTAATTTATTTGACAGCCAAAAATGATTTTTGCATGAGATGAGCGCTTACCGCTCCCCTTTACTCGGCTCTCAAAGAGATTTAAATTCTATTTTGATTTGCAGCCAGTGAACCGTGTGCCAGAATTTTACCCCCGAGACCGGGACACGGGTTCCAGGTGGATGGCTGTCGACGGTGCCCCCAAGGTCAGTGCTTTGGTCATTGGTGCGACTTTTAATTTGATTTCCACGCCGTGAACCCGGGGGCGCCAAATAGAAATGGGTTTTCAATTGCCCGCAGTCGGAGAAGGCCAAGGGAGTGGGAAATCGGCCTCAGAGGTATTGGAAACGCTAGAGTATTCCTTCTCCAAATACTTGGATGCGGCCGGCCAATCCTTGATAAAGCTTGCGAGAAAACAACAACATCATTGGGAAAGAAAAATAGCTGGGACGACTCAATTTGTGGACCGAAAAGCAAGGCAAGAGCAAACAATAACAAGACAGAAACAGGGACTGAAAAGTTGTGTTCCCCCAAGTAATTGCAGCTCGCGAATGAATACGAAAATTCAATTATTTTCGGTCATTATTTTTTCTTTCTTACTTTTTTTCGAGGGCACTTTCCAACACTGTCTGGTGGTCCCTGTCCCCCCCCCCACAGTTTCGCCTGCACGCAAACGCATTTTATGCATTCGCGTAACAACAGCGAAGGGAGATGGCAGGAAAAAGGAGGACATCAGCTTTCGGGGACGTGCAATCAATGGGATGAAGTCAGTTTCGAGTTCCTGGACTCGTCCCCCATCCTACCGAAGTGTTGCAAAACGTTTTCCTTGTTGGTGTTGCTGTTGCTTCTCTGTGGATACTGCCTCACCTCTTTGCAAAGTTTCCGCACAAAAGGCAACTACGAAAAATTAAGTTAACTTTTTCGGGCAACGGGAATTGAGTAATTTTCAGCCGTAAAACTTTATTATTTCGGACGCAGGACTTTGTCTGCCCCGCACCACTCCCCAGTCCCCCTCCGTTCTTGTTGCAGCAATTGTAGAACATGCAAAGTTGCTGTTATTGTTTAAATATTTATTTTCAGCTGTTGCAGCTGTAAATGCTGGCAGGAAAAGTTGTCTAGTGCCCGAAAGTGGGCAAAAACATGCAAATTTCATTGGGCAGCGCGGAAAGAGGAACCGCCAAAGCAACTCTTCAGGCAATGGGCCAAAGCAACATGTAATTACATTAAGCCAGTCGAATTTCGCAACATTTCTGAATGGTTTCAAGCGGCTTTAGTCGCTGGTCTAGTTTAGAAAAGGAGTGCTTTGCGAGGAGGAATAAAATAATGTACAAGCTACTACTGCCTGAAATAAAGATCACGGTTTATATGGGTTAGTCAGTACATAGAAACTGATAAAGCAAGGCTTTGTTAGCTTCAGATGAAGGACTAATAATACCCATTTAAAACACACACCGAGTTAGTCATAATTTGTAACCGAATTTCACTATAATATTCCCCTCGAATAACATTTTAATGAACCCATGAAAGCGCCAAAATGCCAATGAAATGCCAGAGTTCTTTAGATTAGTGCCTGCCATTACAGGTGAGCGGCGGTTGAAACATGCCCAGGGGCCCAAGACTCCGGCTGAGATTCCGATTCCGGCGAAGAGTCCAGTTAAATGTTATTAAGTATGCAGGGCTCCGGCGGAAGGGCGAGGGCGGAAAACGCTAAGATAACAGGCAATCCGACAGGCAGCAAGTGAAAATAACAATCAAAATATTCAATTATGCAATGGTAGCCCGAGGAGCAGCACGGCCTGGACCGGGATACGGCCACGTCGGAGGGGTGCGAGGGCCCCTGGCTTGCTTGCTCCATGTTGTGCCCCTGAATAATTAATAAACGTTGTGTGCACTTAATGCAAAAAGCTGCAAATAAAATTACCAACCGCCGGGACAAAAAGCTGCCGGCTCGTTGTGTGCTGAAATCATTGCCGGCTCGGCTTGGCTCGGTTCGGTTGGAAAAACAAAGCGAACTGGACCGGAGCGAGGCTCAAATTGAAATTACGTGCCCGGGCTGAGCAATCAAAGAGGGATTAGCGGCTGTTTTTGCTTTTAGTTTGCCATTTGTCACCTGCCAATTCAGGGTCCGGGTCCCGTTCGACCTGGCCAGTGCCCACCTTTGAGCGCTTTTAATTGAATTTATTGTCGCCGAGGTGGTTGCTGAATTATTGATTGCCGCGATGACAAGCTAACCCGGCCGAGGATGCCGCTCTGAAGCAGGTCCGAGAGCCTTTCAGCTTTTCAGCATTTATCTTAAGTTTGGCAACTTTTGGGGCCGGCCAGCCTAAGCTGCTCAAAAATTAATGAGGGGGCGTTGCCGGTGGCGTTGGTATTTAGCCGAAAGGTTGCGAAACTTTGCCAAGTCATCTGCTGTGTTTGTGTGGTTGGCCGTGGGTTTTGTCAGTCGGAGCACGCGTTTTCCTGCGGCTCAGAGAATTTTCAATGGGTTTTACCGGGGAATGCACTCGAAATAAAAATGTGAAGAAACGTGTTAATTGGGAAGTGAGAAGCCTTTGCTTCTGTTTGTTATTTATTAGTAAGATTATGTTAGGCATCTATGATGAACAAGTGAAAGCCACGATCACGATCTTGGTTTTAAAGCATACGGTTCTCCAGCTGGACAAGTCGCTGGCTTACGTCCAGGGCCAGGTTGGGATAACAGCCCGCCATGTAGGTGAGAGCCTTGGCCCTGCCCCGCAGATGCCGCAGGACGCCTTCTCTGTTGGCGTACTCAGTTTGGTCGTCGTCGGCGGCCTTTAGGTCCACGTATTCGGCGTACACAATCTCCATGGCGGCCAGCAGGACACTGGGCAGCACCTTCATGATCTCCGTACCCATGATCTTTAGATGGGACATACATTTGTCCGCCTCCAAGCTGTTGGAGGGTATTAGCCGATTGGAATTCAGAACAGCCGATGCAAGACGCATTTTGCCCGCGTGATAGTAATCAAAGAACTGCATCAGCTGCGATAGCATCTTGTAGGTGAGCATCACATGGGCCTTCACGGTCGGATTGCGGTCCGTAAGCACAGAGTCCAAGTGCCTGATGACTTTGCCCAGTCGCTCCCGCAGGCCACCGGGCCGCGTTATCTGGTGTATCACCTGGGAGAGCAGGGAACTCACCAGGCACATCGCCCGCTCCACCTGCCCGGCTATAAGGTAGAGTTTGACGGCCGCCTCGTAATTGGTGCGGCTGGACAGCTCATCGCCCGCCATGGCGGCCAGCGAGTACTTGTCACAGTCCATAGAGCTGAACTGATCCAGGACGCCGGAACTGAACTGGTGGGAGTTGACCCTATCCTCAACCCCAAAGAGTAACTCCAGGGTCTGGTCGTCGCACTTCTCCACAATCAGGTCGCAGAAGCAGACGACCATGGCATTGTGGCCTTCCTTGGTCTTGAAGTGTCGCAGCTGGTAGTAGTAGTGCAGGGCCTGGGCGGTGTCTGACTGCTCGAAGCACTTGGTGTACATGATGATCAGGCGCACCATATTGAGGCGCTTCATCGGCGGTGGGTCGGTCGACTCGCAGCTCAGCAGCGGCTCATGGGTGCAGCTGGGCGTCCCCAGCAGACCCTTCTCGTTCAGGGCGATGGCCATGTGGACGGCGTGTGATCGGTTGGACACGGTGCGGGCCAGGACCTCGATGGCGGTCTCAAATTGGCCGGTGAGG